TTTTTACGGAATATACCTATCTTAAATTTTCATCATATACTGATTATATACTGTCTTTTAAATTCATCTTTTATATTTGTCTTTATCTTTACTTTTATTCTTGTAATATTTTTAACTTTTATTTTATTCTATTCTCTATAGAAGATATACATTGTCCGTCAATCACTTTTGCCATGCTTACCTCAAAATTAGGCAAACTTGAAAGTTTTGTATCTCGGTCGGAAATCATCGTATCACAAAAAACAGCAGGGCATTTTAAAGGTAATTGCAAAAGCTTCCATTTAAGACATGCAGAGACTTAAAAATGAAAATATGTGTTTTTTACAGTAAAAAAACTGATTGAAAAAATTTCAATTTTTTTAACCTCGACTTAAATCAATGCCAATTTAGAACCAGGCGGTGGAGGGCAAATCGACCAGAGGGGTTCGGAGGGTAATGTCTTTCTTTTTAAAATTAGTCCCCGGGGGGTTCTATCCGATGTTTTTTAACCGAACGGCGTTTTTTGTAAAAAAATAACCTTTTTTTTCAATCCTCAATTACTTCGACTTGCGTACGTTTTGGAAAAAAATGCCAAGGAGAAAAAAGTTTCATTTTGTGCCCAAGAATATGAAAATAAAGTCAAAATAAAGAAATAGAGAAAAAATTTTTTTCGGTTTTTTAGCGCATTAAAAAAATAAAGGAATTTAATTTTTTTTTACGCTTAGTTTTAGTTTTTTTGTGATTTACTACGTCCCTAGACATTTTAAAAAGAAGCGTAAAAAAAAAGTTAAATTCCTTTATTTTTTTAATGCGCTAAAAAGCCGAAAAAAATTTTTTTCTCTATTTCTTTATTTTAACTTTATTTTCGTATTCTTGGGCACAAAATGAAACTTTTTTCTCCTTGGCATTTTTTTCCAAAACGTACGCAAGTCGAAGTAATTGAGGATTGAAAAAAAAGGTTATTTTTTTACAAAAAACGCCGTTCGGTTAAAAAACATCGGATAGAACCCCGCGGGGGGCTAATTTTAAAGGGAAAGATATTACCCTCCGAACCCCTCCAGTTGATTTGCCCTCCACCGCCTGGTTCTAAATTGGCATTGATTTAAGTCGAGGTTAAAAAAATTGAAATTTTTTCAATCAGTTTTTTTACTGTAAAAAACACATATTTTCATTTTTAAGTCTCTGCATGTCTTAAATGGAAGCTTTTGCAATTACCTTTAAAATGCCCTCTGTTTTTTGTGATACGATGATTTCCGACCGAGATACAAAACTTTCAAGTTTGCCTAATTTTGAGGTAAGCATGGCAAAAGTGATTGACGGGCAGTGTACATGTATATGTATATGTACACTACCGTCCATAAAGATTTGCCATCCCCTTGCTGAAATCATCAAAACTTTAGAGTTTTATGGATCAGTTTCTATAAGAGCTAGAAAATCCTGCGGGGTCTCATTTGAAAGGTCTTGGCAAGACCTTTCAAATGCCGTAGAACATAATTGATTTTATTTGTTTTTTGTACAACTTGTGACGTCATAAACAAATTGTTTTTTTTTTTAATTTTTTCACATTAACTTCGACCCCGATTGATTTATATGACGGATTCTACGATGGAAAAACTGTATAAGCCATTCGATAGAGCTTTCAAAAAGCTACAAAATCCAGATCCGGAAAATATTTTTACCTTTATTTTTTATGAGCTATATGGTGTTTTATACAAAAACATAGATTTTCAAAAAATGGGCTCTATTTTTTTTATTTTCAACTCTAAAAAAAAACTCTCAGAAGAAAAAATGTAGTATTTTGCAAGAGCTATCAAATGCGCCACTCAGAATTTAAAAAAAAATTATTTTTTTTTTCACGTTTTTTAGAATTGAAATTTTTCTAGAAAAAAAACTGAAATTACATATATTTAATAAAATTAGCAAGTAACTAGTATTTATAACTGAATGGGCTTACAAATAATGATAACAAGATACATTTATTGTATTCGACGTTTGTAACAGAGGAATTTGCATTGTTTTCATTTTTAATGACTTTCTACAGTATTGTGCTCACCGATAATCACTGTGATAATCACTGAGTGTTTACGTGGTTTGATTTACTTGACTTTCATGAATGTATACATATAGCAGAGCATACGTATGGAATTTCAGTCTCTTATCAGCTTTAATGAGTGAAATATCAATGTGTCCAATCTAGTTAGTAAATTATGCATGTATTTTTTGTTCATTAAAAATGACGAAAAAAAGAAACTTAAGCATTGGAGAGCGATCTGAGATAGTAGCCTTGCATAAAGTGAATAAAAGTAATAACGAAATTTCCAAAATTTTGAATATTCCAAGAAGAACAGTTGATTATAACATTAAAAAATTCATAACTCAAGGAAATATCAAAAACAAAAAAATTTCAGGAAGGCCTAGGAAAACTACGAGCGCTACTGATAAACACATTTGTAGTACAAGTACACATAATCCAAGACTCACGGCACCAGAACTTGCTGTTGAAACTCAAAAAGCATATGATGTTAAGCTTAGTGTTACTACGATAAAGAGACGACTTCATGAAGATGGACTATACGGTCGAATAGCAATTAAAAATCTTTACTAAAACCGATTAATAAAAAGAAACGATTGGCTTGGGCCAAAAAACATAAAATTTGGACCATTGATGATTGGAAAAAAGTTTCGTGATCTGATGAGAGCAAATTCGAGGTTTTTGGTAGTAAACGCAGATGTTTTGTGCGGAGAAAAAATAAGCAAAAACATTTAGAGAAAAATATGTGTGCTTCGGTTAAACATGGTGGTGGCTCAGTAATGGTATGGGGTTGTTTTGGTGGTTCTAAGGTTGGTGACCTTCTTAAAATTGATGGTAAGTTGAAAATGAAGGTTACAAAAAAATTCTTGAAGAAAATGTTGTATCTTCCGGAACAAGTATAATTGGTCGCAAATTTACGTTCCAACAAGATAACGACCCAAAGCATACTTCAAAGTTATGTAAAAGTTATCTTGCTCAATTGGAGAAGAAAAAAAAATTAGTTGTGATGGAATGGCCACCGTACTCTCCTGATCTTAACCCTATCGAACTATTGTGGGATGATCTAGATAGAGCTGTAAGGAAGGTAGGACCTAATTCCCAGAAGGATCTTTGGAATATCTTAGAAAATGAGTGGAAAAAAATAAGTGCAGAAACTTTAGAGAAACTTGTAGCACGAATGCCTCGAATTTGTAAAGTAGTTATAGCAAACAAAGGTGGACATTTCGATGAAAAAAACGTATAAATAATTAGTATTGTTTCGTTTTTGTTTACAACTGAAATTTATATTCAGATTGTGATAATATATTAATTACAAGCGTTATTAGTATTATAAAAAATGAAATTATTATTGTTATGTTATTATTGAAACGTTGTAATAAATAAATTTTGTAGAAAAATTGTAACCAAATTATGTTAATCTATTCTGAGTAAGTAATAAATTATGGTTCAATAAATGTATCTTGTTATCATTGTTTGTAAGCCCATTCAGTTATAAATACTAGTTACTTACTAATTTTATTAAATATATGTAATTTCAGTTTTTTTTCTAGAAAAATTTCAATTCAAAAAAACGTGAAAAAATAAATTTTTTTTTTTTTTTTAATTCTAAGTGGCGCATTTGATAGCTCTTGCAAAATATTACATTTTTTCCTCTGAGAGTTTTTTCTTTTGAGTTGAAAATAAAAAAAATCAGCCCATTTTTTGAAAATCTTTGTTTTTGTATAAAACACCATATAACTTATAAAAAATAAAGGTAAAAAAATTTTTCGGATATGGATTTTGTAGCTTTTTGAAAGCTCTATCGAATGGCTTATACAGTTTTTCCATCGTTGAATCCGTTATATAAATAAATCGGGGTCGAAGTTGATGTGAAAAAATTAAAAAAAAACAATTTGTTTATGACGTTACAAGTTGTACAAAAAACGAATAAAATCAATTATGTTCTACGGCATTTGAAAGGTCTTGGCAAGACCTTTCAAATGAGACCCCGCAGGATTTTCTAGCTCTTATAGAAACTGAGCCATAAAACTCTAAAGTTTTGATGATTTCAGCAAGGGGATGGCAAATCTTTAGGGATCGTAGTGTATACACACATACACACATACACACACACACACATACCGACAAACAATTCATTCATCATTTAATTAAGTTCTTTTTACTCGGTTAATACAAATTCTTTGATCCAGTTTTTTTAACAACTGAAAATCGCCAAAATCATAGAAATACGTCGAATCTTAGCGGCTGCCACAGATCAAATAAATAATTAATATAGCCGTAAGTTTTATTATACTTTAGCAGCACATATACCAACATATTTATAAAAATTTTGATAATCAGATTCTTCAAACCCGCAAAATGTAAACCTTTGAGGTATTTTTGAACACACATCGTACACATGAAGAGAGATTGAGCATGAAGCTGGGATGTACCCCGTATTAATATTTATCTTTTTTATTAAATATCTTTTATTCTCATACTAAGAAAATATTATTTTATATATCGCTCATGCATTTTTAGCTCTACTTTATGCAACACGGAACAATATTTTTATTTCACCGGGAGCGCACCGGTAACGTCAATGTCGTGGCAAAATCAATGAGTGTAGCTTATTGTATTATCAATGGCCTCAGAAAGAACTTCTGAAAGAGAATTTACCAGACTCTACAAATAGTATTTTATCTAAAAATAGAATTTTCCTCTATTTCTGATTCCAGGGTCACAAAATAGAGCTTTTTATTTGGAAAAACCAAGTTGACCTTAAAATGACCGTGATAATCAAATTCAAAGTCATAGATAAGATGAACGCGATATGTGCTTTTTTAAGATTAAGAACTTTCATCTGATTCATTTTTGACATAAACTTGTATTTGATATTTTAAAAGGGGTAGACGGATGCTTTAAGCAATCCTATAGAAGACATTTAATTACTTATTAATACTATTATCAATATTAACATTTTGAAATATTTTAATTCTTTCGCTTGCAGGTTCCTTTAGGAGCAGGAATTGCATTTGCACAGAAATATTTGAATACTGGTGGTGTATGCCTAGCTTTGTATGGTGATGGTGCGGCAAATCAAGGTCAAATTTTTGAAGTCTACAATATGTGCAAATTATGGAATGTACCTTGCATTTTTATTTGTGAGAATAATGGCTACGGTATGGGTACCAGTATGGATCGTGCATCAGCAAGTACTGAATATTATACAAGAGGAGATTATATTCCAGGTATATGGGTAAGTCAAACGCGTATTGTATATATACGAGGTTTGTCCGGAAAGTATCGGGCCTACCTTTATATTTTCGAGCTAGCGTTATTATTTATCATCTGGTGGGTGGCATCCTTCAAAGTAATCCCCACTTGATTGAATAACATGGTTCCATCGATGTTTCTACTTTTCAAAACAGTCCTGGAACTCAATTTTAGGGATAGCCTTAAGTACACTCGTCGCATTGTTTTCAACCATTGTTTTGTCATCGATTCGGTGTCCTTTGAGTGGTTTTTTTAGTTTTGGAATTAGCCAAAAGTCACAAGGGGCTATGTCGGGACTGTATGGAGGTTGTCGAAGCAATGCGATATTGTGTTTGCTCAAAAACTGCTGCACAAGATTGGATGAATGCGCTGGCGCATTATCGTGATGGAGAAGCCAGTCACCACTTTCCCAAAAGTGCAGCCGTTTTCTTCTTACTGCATCATGCAAACGTTTCAAAATTTGAACGTAGTATTCTTTATTGATTGTCTGACCTGTTGGTGCATATTCGTGATGTACAACACCTTCACAATCGAAAAAAACAATCAACTTAATATTGCTCCGACTTTGACGTGCTTTTTTTGGTCTTGGCGATTCAAAATGCTTCCACTGTGAAGATTGTAGTTTTGTTTCAGGATCATAACCATAAACCCATGATTCGTCACCTGTAATAACTTTTCTAAGTATATTATCATCATTATTGACCATTTCCAGATTGTCCAGAGCGATTTCTAAGCGAATGTTCTTCTGCTCTGCTGTGAGCAATTTTGGGATGAATTTCGCACCCACGCGTTTCATTCCTAAATTTTCAGTTAAAATTTCTAAAATGATAGTTTTTCGTATCGCAAGGTCTTCTTCTAGTTCTCGCACAGTCATACTACGATCTTGTTCGATTGCAAGTCGCACTCGCTCAATATTATCTGCGATTTTTGTCGTCGAAGTTCGGCCGGAACGAGAATCACTATCGGCAAAAGTGCGACCATCCTTGAACCGTTTATACCACTCTTTTATTCGTGGTTTACTCATACACTCGCTTCCGAAGGCCTTTTGCATCATTTCAATAGTTTCCGAACTCGTTTTTCCGAGTTGAAAGCAAAATTTGAAGCAAATTCGTTAATCTTGTTTTTCAGTCATTTTTGACAATATCAAAATCCGACGAACGCGAAAAAGACACTGTAAACAAAGACACGCTGCGCATGAACTATACGTCTGACAGGTGTCAGTAAGTAACCAATAGAATCGTGAGGCTTTACTGTTGACGTTTCTGTCCGGTAAAGGTCGCTCGAACACTATGGCTCGAAGATATAAACATAGGCCCGATACTTTCCGGACAGACCTCGTATACTACATATTTCTTTTTCTATTATACTTACAACACACGTATCTACAATTTACCTAAGGTTGCATTTTGTAATAATTCAGGCCAACATATTTTTACATCCACAGACTAGACTCGGTGTATCCGAAGGAATTTGATGCGTTAAATTCGAATCCAACTTCAGATTGCTTCATCACCCTAAATTTTTAAGATATTCTAACCTAAGATGACAAAAACTCGTTTTTACTATTTTTGAACCCCTTTAACTTGCGAAAAAAAATTTTTCATTCATTTAACGACGGTACTTTAAAGAACAAGTCTTTATCAAAACCGACTCCTTATTCTTTCATATCATTTTTTCGTCAGAAATCTATAATAAATATCATTTAAGCAAAGGAAAGTTTTACTTAAAGATAATTTATAACGAGTTTGACGTCAGCTTGTTATGTCTCTATCTCTATACGGCGATAATATTAAGAATATCATATATATAAATGTTGTACTACTTGAATTATATTTCCCCTTAACAGCAGCAGAAGAAGACTGCGGAGAAGGTAAGAGAGAGCGCCGGCAGAGAGAGACCGCGTGCGCGTATAGGCATAGCGATATGTATGACAAGCCGCGCGCCGCGGACCGCGTAACGAAGGGCTGGCAATTAGCTGATAGATCGCGAGCCGTGCAGAGGCATTCGGTCGTGCGTGCACTCGTATTAGCTTTTCTTTGTGAATGGCCTCGCGGCAAGAGAGTGACTTTTGACTATGACAAGTTAGTGAGGTGCAACTGTGCGTGCAATACCTCCTCCTCCTTCGCACAAGCGATTGTACTGTTAGGCGAATTCGGCAATCGTGCCGAGGCGTAATTGAGAGGCTTCGATTAATGTAAGTACCGACCATTCCTTGGATCTCTTTCTCGCTTTGCCTATCTCGCCGCTTTCTTTGAACCGCCCTGTACACTGACTCGTACATAAACTATATATATTTGTATACTGCTAAAACTGCATGGCTTTTCTTTTGAACTACCCTTTCCTTCTTACCGCTTCCCTCAACTTTCGCGATTTAAACTGCGTGACCCACGACGCTCTCCGCGGGCCAGTTGGCGATCTGACCTAGCGGGCCGGTCTTGCGTAGCATAACGCAGTGCCGCGAAGAGCTGCATTTGTTTGACCACTATTGATCTCAGTTTAATTAATATATTGTAGCGGTCTATATCCCCGTTACATTTTGGCGCCCAAACGTTATGGTGCTGGCGTGCGCAGCGAAAATCCTATCGAGATCAAAGTTTTAAAAAGCTGAATTCTAGGAAGGACAAGAAATGCGCGTTCACTCACAGGGTGTTGTTTGTAAACACGAGCCGCGCGGCAAGCCACATGTGCGACGATCGCTATCAAATACCAAAATATAAACGAGTGTAATTTCATCGCTACACAAACGTATATTCTCGAAGCTATTGCTTGTATTGAGAACCGAGCATATTTTTGAAATGACCAATATACTCGAAAATCATAAATACAAGTAAATTACGTGTTGGCATGCCATAGCACGACTTGCTGTCCTAGCCAATATACAGATAGAAATTTATGATTTCTTCTATATATTCTTGATATAAAGATTGCGTAGGCTATGCCCTAATGCGACTTATATTATATTATAAGTTGATTTGCTAGCAGCGAGCTATGAGTTAATTTACCCCTGCGTTTACTCGTAACGCATAATAAACATTATAAAAATCATTAAATGTTCTCTTCTGTTCACAATCTTACAGCTTGCAATATAAACAATTAGTATATAATTATTTAAATAGCAATTGTATGTCTAACTTAGTAACATTTATTAATATAATTAATTAATAAATTAACAATTATTTAATATATTTTATCTTGAACTGATTATCGTACTTTTCACTCTTCGTTTTACTTAAACAAGCCGTTCGATTGTCTCGTAGGTAAATTGTCAATCTGAGTACGTACAATATGGCGACAAAATGGTCACTAAGTGACTTATCAATTTTCAAAGAAGGTATTGGTAAAAAATTGTTAAACTGGGTGAGACAGTTACCTAGCTTACAGGTAGATAGCTTACTGACTCAGAGTTACGAACAGACGGAACGCTGTATGAGCGAGCAAACCGATTATTTCGTAGGTTAAATGGCGACTACTCAGCTCAGGACTTTATAACAAAAGACGATCTAGATGAAGAAACTGCAAAAGAAAGACGGATAACCTTAGTCGTTTATTTTTTATGTCAGAAGCTTTACCAGCGGAAATCCGGAAAGATTTGCAAACTGTCTTAGAGGCAGAAGAAGCCCTCGACTCCATGGGGCAGCCGAATTTAGAGGATAACGAACATATAACTACGAGGTCGCTACAAGGCAGACCCGTCGAAGAACCAGAGATCCTGGCAGATAACGATAGATAGTTGCTAAGACCTCGACAGTTAACCTCACAAAATACCGGATAAAATCAAGACGCTGCTACTGCTAAGCACATGGCTTCAACAGCAACAACGACTAGCATCGCGTCAACAAATGTAGCAACTTCGAATTACGGTTCTACAGCAAATTATACAGCCACAGCTTAAATGAATAACGTGCAAATAGTGATGCCAGACGGTAAGTCGCACTTTGTGCCTTACGCCGTAGCACACGAACTTCGAAGGCTCTTGCAAGTAGAAATTGATGCGTTTTTGGCACATAAACACTTTCTGATTCATACGTCGGCCATAGAAAAGGAAATTGAAAACATACCAGCGAAAATAGCACAGTATGATCGGATAATAACTCAAAAACGAGCTAACTCCACCATAATATAGTAATATTTGCACAAGCAATTAAAATCAGTTGTATCTACTGCTCAACATCAAGCTACGGAGCAGGCATGCTTAGAGGCCACGCGAAACAGAAATGTTCAATTTGCAGATAATTTCGAACTGAACTATTATAACCATCCAAGCCAATTTGGTAATACAACGCATTCTCATACGCCATCCTCACTCAATCCGCAAGCGCCGTTATTCCATTCGACAACACAGCCCTCCGCAATGCTCTCACAAGTACCTTTATCATTGTCGTTAGCGATGACCTCGTCATCCTTGTCTATATTTCATCCTCCTACATCCTCGCACTGGGAGAAGCATACGCCTTCCAGTACATCTTTATCGCTCGGCCTCGTGACTTCCCTCGCGTGCTCGTTCACCTCCGTGTACTCGAGCTGGGCGAGGGGGGTTCTGCCCAGTACTTCGGCAGGAGTCACACCGCAGCAGGCAACACTCAGCGTACCAACAGGAAGCCAAACTGCTAGCTCACAGCAAGCAACCACACTGAATACGACGTCTTCCGAATACTTTCGGAAAACGGTAAGAGAGTGGAAAATAAAGTTTTTCGGAGACGAAGGGCTGAGCATTGAGGAATTTTTGGAGCGAGTTGAAGAAAACCGACTGTTAGACAAAGTGTCAAACGAAGAGCTGTCAAACTCTATGACTCCCTTATCCGAGAAGTCAGCACTCTTTTGGTATCGCACTCGTGGACTACTTTCCGCGAATTCAAAGAAGCCGCTTTCGCAACCTACAGTAAATTAAGAAGGAATAAAAGAATTATGACAATAGAGGCACATTTGCGTACGCAAGTCGCTGACGAGCCCGTAGTTGAATATGTTGTCTCATTATTTACTAGT